TAGTGGTGTCTCATTGTAGCTTTCATTTACACTTTCCGAATGAGTAAGGATGTTGAGCATCTCTTCATGTGATTACTTACTATTTGCATATTCTTGGTAAAGAGTCTTTTAAAATCATCTGCCCATTTATTTAGTGAAGTGTCTGGTGGTTTCTTATTGCCTTTGGGGAGATTTTCTGTATTCTGGATACAAGCCTTTTGTCAGATATATGATGTGCAAATATTTTTCCCAGTCTTTGGCTGATCTTTCCATTCTCTTTTGAAGAGAAATTTTTTTTTTCCTTTAATGATTAATATATTACATATCTGACATTATCCCTCCATTGCCTCCCCCTCTCTCCCACTCATGCCCTCATGCCCCTGGTGTCTGTGTCCATTGGTTAGGCTTATATGCATGCATACAAGTCCTTTGATTGATCTCTTCCCTGTACCCCCACCCTCCCCTACCTTCTCTCTGAGGTTTGACTATCTGATTGATAGTCAAATCAATCTCTGTCTCTGGGTCTGTTTTTGTTTAATTTTGAGGAAGTCCTATTTACGTGTATGTTCCTATACAGTTTAGATTTTGCTTTCTTGTCATATATAAGAAAGACATAACTTAACCCAAGAGCACAAGAATTTTCTTCAAGACATTTCATAGCTTTAGATTTTATATATTTAGGTCTAAGATCCATTTTGAGTTGTATTTTCTATGTGGTGCATTTATGAATCAGAGTTAATTTATTTGTATAAGGATAGCCACTGTTCAGCACCATTTGTTGAAAAGATTAGACCTTCCACACCGAATTGGCTTTTTTAAAAACTGGTTTTGATTTATGTAAACATTAGGTATCCATATAAATTTGGGTCAGTTTTTCTTTTTGGTAAAATGTTAATAATAATAGTTATTATTTTAAATTTATTGGGGTGACACTGGTTAATAAAATTATATAGGTTTCAGATGTGCAATTCTGTAATACATCATCTGTATATTGTATTGTGTGTTCCCACCCCAAGTCAAATCTCCTTCCATCACCATTTATCCCATCTTTACCCTCCCTTACCTTCCCCAACTCCTTTTCCCTCTGGTAATCATCATACTGTTGTCTGTGTCTATGAGTTTTTGTGAGGGGTTTTAATCCCTTCACCTTTTCACCCAGTCCCCCAACCCCCTCCAGTCTTAGAGCTGTTAGTCTGTTCTCTGTATCTACAAGTTTGTTTCTATTTTGTCAGTTTATTTTGTTCATTAGGTTCCACTTGTAAGTGAAATCATATGGTACTTGTCTTTTTCTGACTGGCTTTTTTCAAAACATATTTCTTATGTCTTTATTCTGTTCTTTTGATCTTCTTGTCTACCTTGATGCCAATATTACACTGTCTTGATTATTGAAGGTTTAAAATGAGTTGATATCAGGTAGTATTCATCCTTCAGCTCTGTACTTTTCAAAATTGTTTTCATAGTCTAGGTTCTTATTGTTTTCATGTGAACTTTAGAATTATCCTGTCAATTTTCTTTTTTTTTTAATGTCTGTGGAATTTTTATTGGGATTGAACTGAAACTGTAGATCAGTTTGAGCAGAACTGACATCTTCACAATACTGTACCTTCTGGACCATGTACATAAGATATCTCTTCACTAATTAGGTTTTCTTTGATGTCTCTCAGCAATGATTTGTAGTGTTCTGTGTGTAGACATTGCACATCTGTGGGCAGATTATTTCTAAGTGTTCCATGCTTCTTTTAAAAATTATTTTAATGTTTATTGGTTTCAGAGAGGAAGGGAGAGGTAGAGAGAGATAGAAACATCAATGATGGGAGAGAATCACCAATCGGCTGCCTCCTGCTTTTCCCACACTGGAGACCATGCCTGCAATCTTAGCATGTGCCCTTGACCAGAACCAAACCCTGGACTCTTCAGTCTGCAAGCCGACACTCCATCCAGTGAACCAAACCAGCCAGGGCAATTCCATACTTTTTTATGCTACTGTAACCGCCATTATTTTCTATTACAATTGCTAATGTTTATATTTTCACTGAATTGTCAGCAGCCAATTGTATAACAATAGATATTGAGGAATCTTTTTGTTTGAAAGCACATGCTACTATGGAATAGAAAAGATAATTGATGCATAATATGTATTTCTCAATCAGCTTTTATCCGTTATTCTTTTTTTTTTTTTCTCTCATATCTTTTTTAAAAATATATATTTTATTGGTTTTTTTACAGAGAGAGAGAGGGATATAGAGTTAGAAACATTAATGAGAGAGAAACATCTATCAGCTTCCTTCTGCACACCTCCTATTGGGGATGTGCCCACAACTAAGGTACATGCCCTTAACCAGAATTAAACCTGGGACCTTTCAGTCCGCAGGCTGACGCTCTATCCACTGAGCCAAACTGGTTTCAGCTTTTATCTGTTATTGATGATCTATTGAAACTAGGAAGAAAAATGTCCAGATACAATTCTACCGGGCATCTGCATTTAAGCCTGTCACTGAAAGAACATATATAGTTAGAATTAAATCTGTTGAATTGTGAGGTTTTGTTTGTTTGTTTGTTTGTTTGTTTATTTCCTTTTGTCTCTTTGTGTTTTGTTTTGTTGTTTTTTCAATTTCACAGTAAATCCATCCACAATGAATTCCTGGGAGTTTGGTTGGTGAGAGAGACAGAAAGGGAAAGAAAGAGCTTTGCGCATGATTGTATTTGTACTAGTATATACTGAAGCTTCCAGGAACACTTGTTGTGAGGAATACTTGCGGTTAATTTCTGTGTGTTATGTCAGAACTGTTCCATTCCAGCACATGCTAGGAACCAGATTTTTCCAGCTTTCCATGACCAGCATGGTTACCATGGTGACCTAGTGCCTGCTGTGGGAGTTGGTACAGACTGAGCATCTGTTCAGGACTCTTACCTCAATCGTTACTATGGCAATTGTCAAGTGTTGCTTTTCTTATTCCTCATTCCTTCTAGATTAATTAGGTGGCTTTATCTTAGGATAGAGCTTTCATTTCTCCCTTATTATTCAATTATTTATGTATTTATTCAAATTTTATTTATATCACTGTGACTCATAAATTCCTATTATGGTCAAAGAATTATATTTTGTTATTATTATTACAGATTTTGATGCTCCAATTGTCCCAGAATCAGCCAGTATAAGGTCCTTCAAGAAGGCCTCTATGTCCATTTGATATTTCCCTAGACATCTTTGAGCAAGTACTTTGCTCTGTGAGCCCATGTCGCCATATGTCGAAAGGAAGTAATGATGCCCACCTTAGAGCATCACTTTGAGAAATTGAACAGAAAAAGTGTGTGAAAACAGCAACGTACAAATTGTAGTATCAATATGCCCTCACCGAATTTTATTTCTTCATTCTTATTTTGCCACCTTTATTCTGTCAATGTGATACCTCTGGCCTTAGCATCATAGCATGACTACCAGAGAGAACACTGGGACATGTAACAGCAAGCAGGGGTGAGCCCACGTTTCCACAATGTGAGCTTCAGTGCCACTGCTGTGAGGGAAAGTGGGGTGTGATCAGTTGGGGAAGAGGCAAAGCATCATTGCACAGCCTCCAGTGAACTGAATGGGGACAGGAACCACACTGTCACCCCTTTCCCTGCATTTCATGCGTTTTCCCATCCTCTCACCACTCCTCTCTGGTCCATGTGCTGTCTTATCCCCTGATTCTCCCTCCTAGTGAAACCTCAGGAAAGGGTGTGCATTCTGAAACAGGAGCTGATGGAGACACCTCAGATACTATAGAACTCTGCATGGTAAAGATAAATTAATGTTACACAAATGTCAGCTGTTTAAGTAAGGATTCCTCCAAGTGTAGTCCATTGTCTATTTCATCAGAACCATCAGGGAGTGCTAGGTAAAATTGCAGTTACCTGGGCCTACTGAATCAAAAACAGGTGCACCTTCCTCTTTCTGTAGCCACATGCAGAAATGGTTGTTTCCTGAGATCAGTTGGTCCAAGAGCTTTCCAGACATTATCAACACAGTTAGGTATCCAAATAATAGTGAAAATTAATCATTTAAAATATGCATCTGTTGATGAATAGAATTCACTTGATAGATCATTAAGCTTTATTAATGACACATGCAAACTCAAACTATCAAAATAATAATAAACTCAGCTTGTAAATATTGCATAAAAGCATCTAGCATTCATTGAGTTGTTACTCTACGCCTAGCACTCTTCTAAGAATTTTCATGTATTAATTCAACATGGCATTTTCCATCATTTTTATATTTATTCTTTAAATAGATGTGTGATGGTATTTCATGTGGATTTAATTTTAATTTTTTGAAATGTTAAGGCTCTTTTAATCCAAAGAATGCCTTCTCTCTCTTTTTAACCTTCCAGCTTGTTTGCATAAGAAACTATATATTTTGTCCTGTAGAGTTCGCAATCTAGATTTTGTTGCTCGTATCTCTATTGTGTTGTTTACATGTTCCACTGTCCCCTCCTATTTCCTTCAAATTGGTAAGTAGATTTAGAGGCTGGATGATATTCAGGTTTTTTGACAAAAGTACCGTAGATGTGATTCTGTGTGTATCCTGTAGTGTTATGCTGAGAGGCTCATCTTATCTGGTTGTCTCTTCTTCTATGTCATTGAGATTGATCACTGAGTTCAGGAGAAATTTCCCATCTGCTTTTTACCTCATATTTTTTTGCAGCCTCTGAAGATCTGCATTTCATTAAAAGTTGCAGAAGGATATTTTATTTATTATTTTTTTAATATGTTTTATTGATTTTTTACAGAGAGGAAGGGAGAGGGATAGAGAGTTAGAAACATTGATGAGAGAGAAACATCGATCAGCTGCCTCTTGCACACCCCCTACTGGGGATGCGCCCGCAACCAAGGTACATGCCCTTGACAGAATTGAACCTGGGACCTTTCAGTCTGCAGACCGACGCTCTATCCACTGAGCCAAACCGTTCCCGGCAGAAGGGTGATATTTTTTTTTTAATTCTTTTATTATTATTATTTTTTTAACAAATGGCCCCAGGGAGAGGGGACCAGGGGAGCAGGGAGGAGGGGAAGCGAGGCCCCAGCCCCACAACCCCTCCCACCCACCCCTTTCCCCTTATATATTTATAATCTATATACAAGGCCTGGGGGGGGAGGGGCAAGAGGAACTCCCTCAGCGGGGTGGGGGCAACCTAGGCTCCTTGTCTCCTCGGGCCCCAGGCTCTTCTGCCCGTCAGGAAGGCCCTTCTCGGGAAGGTGGCCCTGGCCGCTCCCAAGGCTTCGGCATCCAGCGTAGGGCGTCAGGCGGGGAGGCCTGCTGGTGAAGGTCAATGTGCTGGGTGCGGAAGACACCGCTATAGGTGGAGGGTGTGGCTTTGAGACGGGAACTGAGGCCAGAGAAAGACCTTCCAGCTGGAAGAGCACATGATGATCCGGGCCCTCCAAGGTTGCTGCTCAGTTTCCGATAGTCCTGGAACGGCTTTAGTTCTACTGGGTGAAGCTCTGCTCGCCCCAAGCCAGGGGGGAAGGGCCTGGCAGGCAAAGGCAGCACCCGAGGAGCAGGTGGGGGCCGCACAGCCAAACTGGGGGGCTGCAGAGCAGGGCCCACAGGTAACAGAGAAAGGGGGGGTGGGGCAGGAGGCGGCACTGGTGGCAGGGAGCCGAAGTTCACCACAGGCAGCTGGGAGTCCATCATGGGTAGAAGCATCTGCTGGGCAGCCCCTGAGGGGAGGAAGCCACTCTGGCCACCAGGCTGCAGAGGAGTAGAGTAAAAATCTGAGGGGGATGGCAGATCCTGGCGCACCTGAAGCAGGGGCGGGTCAGGCAGAGGACTGGGGCAGAAGGCTGGAGAGTAGAGGAAGGAAGGTGGCGGGTAGAGAACTCCAGCCGGCAACTTCCCCAGCTCGGCTGCTTGCAGCGCTGAGAAATCCAGGAACTGGCCCTTGACAGCCACGCCTGAGAGCAGTGCTGAGGGGGGTGCCGGGCCCGGGGGCAGGTACAGGGGCTGTGACCGGTAAGGGTGCACTGGCGTCCCAGAGCGGAAGCCCCCATTGTTGGGATGTAACTGAGAGTCTATGGCTCCCCCTGAAACCTGGGAGCCGGCAGGCCCGGGGCTGCCTTAGAAGATCTCGGGGTACAAGCGCTGGCCTGCGGGGCTGGGCTCTGGGCCACAGTGCCCGGGCGCCAGGCTCCTGGGCTGTGGTGGCGGCTCAGCGGAGGCAGCAGCACTAGGGAGCAGCTCCCAGTCTCGGGATATGGGAATGGCCTCAGTGACGGATGCCGTGAGCTCCTTCTCTGCTTTTAAACTGTCTCCCACCACTAGGCGCAAGTCTGAGTCCTTGTCACTGGTGCCGAACTGGCCCGGGGGACCGGGCCGGCGGGATGGCCTCAGGGAGCCGGGCTCCGGGCCGCGGGCCGCGCGCTGCAGTCGTTCTGTGCCGATGGGACCAGGGGGCAGAGGCTGCTCCCGGGGCAGCTCCTTTCTGTCCCCATCAGGGGGGGCATGTGGCCGTCTCCTAGGAGGTTCAGAGGGTTCAGAGGCAGGTGGACCCTCACCAGGAACAGCATTCAGGGGTGAGGGGCCTCCAGGCCGCTTGGGGGGCCCCTCTGCTGCCCCCTTGAGTCCTCCATCAGGGGAACTTCGCTGGCTGCAGGGACCTGACGATACCTGAGAATCCCCACTCAGGTCCACCCCACTGTCAGACTGACTCATCTCCGTGGCGGCCACGTCCTCAAAGGGACTCAGGGGCTCCATCCAGGGCTCCACGGGGCCAGGCCGGTAACTCTTCCGACTAGTGGCAGAATGTAAACGATTCCAGATGTGAGGGGTCAGGGAGAAGGGTGATATTTTAATTTATAACTTTCTTTTGTATTTATTAGCTGGAATTCTTCTATAAATAAACTTCTCTTCATCAATTATGAAATTATGCTGAAGTATGGTACACACGGGAAGGGTAGGATAAATATTTCATTCTTTTACATTATTTCCACTTTTCAGAATAATGAGTTCTTTCTGTGGGATCCTCCAAAGATGAACAGTGAATTGGTTTGTTTTGTGTGTCATACTAAGCTCACATATGCTTATATATTTGATGCATTTTAACCCATTGCCATCATTTATCTTTTTTATGTTTAAGTTGTTCTCTTTGTCAGTGGGAGCCTCTCAGGTTGTCTTCTTAGTCTTTGACATGCTTTCTGGTATGAGAGTTCAGTCCAGACTCACCTGGTACAATCCCTACCCAGACCTGGATTCAGCCATTTCTCCAAGGATGCATGGTTCCTTTTAGAGGGAAATATTTTAAGAAGATTCAATCCAGGGACTAGAATTGCACATTGCTACTGGGCTGGTCATTGAGCCTATAAATCTGTATTATGTTTTTCAGAGATAATAGACTTCCATCCTGGGATGCTTCTCCAACTTTTTAGAGGTAATCACTTTGTCAGTATACATCCTCTCAGTCTTTTATATACATGTGAATTTTTCAAAGACAGAATTATTTAGTTATCTACTTTTTAAAAAAGATTTTGTTTCTATTTCTAAAAATTATGTCTTTTCTTTGGGGAAAAATAACCTGTAGAATGTGGAGAAAGGTGCCACCTGGTGATCGGCATCAGAATTTCAGGTCTGAAAGTCAACTGGAGGGCTTGGCAAAGGATAAGGTAATGTAATCAGGAGTGAGGAATGGGCATGAATTTCACTGTATAGGTCAAAGCTTTCCAGAACTTTCCATTCACTAGTGCAGGTGTCGGCAACCTGAGGCTCCGGAGCCGCATGCGGCTCTTTTTGTTAAGTGAAAAAATCCTTTTTCTGCACGATCCGGTATATAGCATTAAGGTAAGAAACAATATATGCAGTGTTATATTTGTTTTAAATGTCGCAATGGTTTTGCGGCTCCCAGGTTTTTTTTTTCCTTTGAAAACAGGTCCAAGTGGCTCTTTATGTCTTAAAGGTTGCCGACCCCTGCACTAGTGGTAATCCTATATTCATGCCATACTTAGATTTTCAAGCCATGAGGCTAGAAGTGCAACCCCCTGTGAACCAAATGGAAAGCTGCACAAGTTTGTATACGAATAGTTGGTATGAAGTTTGCAATGTGGAAACATGCTCACATTAGAAGCAGTATCAAATTCATTGCTTTTATCTTCTTTTACTCATAAAAGAGTATATATGAACACGTTTCCAAAACAATGGATATATGAGCATTGTATTTTTAATCAGCTCATAGTTATGTTGTTTTCAACATTTTATAAATGTTCCATATTTGAAATATTATGGAAAAGCAAATTTATAAAATTAAAGTACACTTTATATCCCACCAACCCAGATGCTTTTAATTATCAAAGAAATGTTTTTAGGGTGTTATTTTCTAACAATAGAATATGAACATGTTTCTAAATCAATAAATGTATTTCCACACTATTATTTTGTTTATGGGTTTTCCTACTCTACAAACTGTATCTCAAGAACTTTTTCAGTTACCAGCTAATACTTTTTATTTTTAACAGGTACAAAACAATATAGAAATGCATATAAATAAATTGAAATTATTCTTTTTCCCTTCTTCCTGTACCTTTTGCCCATCATAATACAGAAATCCATCTTTGTTAACTTATTGGTGCCTGCTCTCCAGATTTTTCTCTGTATATAATATACTAATTTCTGTTTAATGACACACACATACCTATTCACCCATGTTAATGTATATTCTTTTGCAGAAATGAGATCATATTTTACATGGTTTATGACTTCCTTCTTAATATGATTTTTTTCATTTAATTTGTTTATTTGATTTGGAATGTTCCCAGATATTTACTGGGGATTAATACTACTTTAAAAAAAATACCTGTTTGTATAACTTTTAAAATTGATTTTAGAGAGAGGAATGGGGAGAGAGAGACAAACATCACTGTGAAAGAGGAACATCAATAGGTTGCCTCCCCCACATTGGCCAGAGCTATATTGCTTTTTATGTGCTTCATCTCTTCATACCATTGACTTACTCTATTGTTTAAGAGTATTTTGTACATCCAGAATGTAAAGCTAATATAAGTGGTAAAAAATGAATATAAGTGGTAAAAAATTTCTCAAACTTTTCACAGATATTTCAATTTATGTTTTCTGCTATTTGTGTGATATTTTGTGCTTTATAATTATTTTTAATATTTAAAAATACTTTAGTACATTGTTTTAAAAAAAAAAACAACAACTGAAAAATAATGCTTTGAGGTATAGCGCATGTCAGCTCACAGAACAGAGGTTGGGGGGACCTCTTTAGCGTCTCTAAGCAGTAATTTATAAGGTTGTTTCCCTTAGTCAAGTCACTAAATTGTTTACTTCTGTCTCCTTACTGAGTAATGGGGTAGTTATTGGTCTTGGATAGAGTTGTTAGGATTAAAATGAGATGAAATAAAAAACCTTTCATATAGTAGTTGTGTACCTGTTAATATCCTACCATTCAAATTCCCTTTCCAGAAGGCAATAGCTTGTGCTGCTTCCTGGGTCCAGTTCAAAATCTCAGGAACCAGCCATGGCTCCCAAACCAAGGCTGATGAATGATGTGATATGAGCATCTTTTCTATGTATTCTTGCCATCTGTTTATCTTCTATGGTGTGGTATTTGCTGAGATTGTTCACCCATTTTTTAAAATTTGGGTTGTTCATTTTCTTATTGTTGAGTTTTAAGAATTCTTTGTATATTTTGGACACTAATCCTTTTCCAGAACATCTTTTACAAACACTTTATCCCAGTCTGTAACTTCTCTTTTCATTCTCTGACAGTATCATCTTTACAGAGCAGAGTGTATAATTTTATAAATCTACAGTAATCAAAACAATGTGATATTGGTGAAAAGAATACCCAAATAGATCAGTGGAAGAGCCCAGAAATAGGCCCACACAAATATGGTCAACTGATCTTTGATAAAGAGCAAAGACAATACAGTGGAGAAAAGACAATCTTCAACAAATACTGCTGGAACAAATGGATATCTACATGGGAGAAAAAATAGAATCTAGACACAGACCTTATACCCTTCACGAGAATAACTCAAAAAAGATCACAGATCTAAATGTAAAATGCAAAAGTATAAAACTCCAAGAAGATAACATAGGAGAAAATGTAGATGACCTTGGATTTGGCCATGATTTTTTAGATATAGCACCGGATAGGATTCATGAAGGCAATGATTGATAACCTGGATCTTATTAAAAGTAAAAACTTCTGTGCTGCAAAAGAAAGATTGATTTTAAGTGTTTAAGGCTGTGCCTATCTTGTTGGGGGATAAATTTCACCTACTACAGTGATATAAGCACGTTAAAAAACTAAAATATGATCTTATCTCTTATATATAAACTAGAGGCCCAGTGCACAGATTCGTGCACCAGTGGGGTTCCCTGGCCTGTGGGGATCGGAACAAAACCGGCTCTCCAACATCCCTTAAGGAGTCCTGGATTGCCAGAGGGCAGTTCTCAGGTAACACACCCCGGAATCAGTCTCTTTTCTGTCTGGTTTGTGTGTCACCTGAGAACTGCTGCTACCAAGTGACTACAGCTGTGCAGCTCCTGTGTTGAGCGTCTGCCCCCTGGTGGTCAGTGCGCATCATAGCTACTGGCCAGTCAACCAGTAGGCTGGTCACTTAAGCTTTTATATATAGATATATTGTAGATATAGATATAGATATAGATATAGATATAGATATAGATATAGATATAGATATAGATATAGATATAGATATAGATATAGATATACAGTAGATATATAGATATAGATATATGAACATTAGAGGCCCAGTACATGAAATTCATGCACTTGGAGGGAGAATGGGGGTGTCCCTTAACCCAGCCTGCACCCTCTCCAACCTGGGACCCCTCAGGGAATATCGAACTGCCTGATCACTCCCTAACTGCTCCCTTGCTGGCCTGATTAACACCTAACTGCTCCCCTGCTGGCCCGATCACCCCTAACTGCCCTTCCCTGCCAGCCTGATTGCTTCGAAATGACCTCCCCTGCCAGCCTGGTCACCCCGGTGGAAGCTGCACAGAGCAGCAGCCAGGACCCACTCCCCAGCGGGGCTGAGGGAACACCGGGAAAGCAGCACACAGCAGCAGTGGGGACTCGCCCCCCACCCAGCACAGCTGTGGGAATCCCAGCAGCACGCATGGGGAGTGGGCCTCCCGCCCTCCTGCAGGGCCTCAGGAACTGCGTCAGCAGGCAAAAGGAGCAGCAGCCAAGACTAGCCCCCCAGTGGGGCTTGAGAGAACTCTGGCAGCAGGTATGGGGAGTGGCCACTGAACCTACCATCCCCCTGTGGGGCCGCAGGAACTTCAGTGACAGGCATGTGGAGCAGCCGGCCCTGCGCCCACTGTGTGTGCTGCCATCTTGTTATGGCGTTATGGCGTGAGGGTTAATTTGCATATTACGTCTTTATTATATAGGATATCCATATAAATAAAAAAAATTCCTGCATAAGAAAACTTCTGGGAGACTATAGTGCAGATGCAAACATTAGCAGGGCTTATCTTACTATGTATGGGGTATTATCTCTTTTTCTATGTGTTTTTTGTTTGTTTGTTTTACCTATAACAAACTCATATTGCTCTTGTAAATACACAAAATAATATCTACTCCACCCACAGGAAAGCTATTACTTTATATAACTCTGCTCGCTTGCATTTGAGTGAGGAGGGAAGGACTCCCTTCCTTGTTCCACCAAAGAAGTTCCTTCAGCTAAGCTCTGCAGCAAGAATGCTCCAGGAGGCCCCACTGCAGAAGCTGCAGAAGCTCTAGTGATGTCATCATCTCCTATTTGAGAAATGGGGGGTACCTTCCCCCCAAAGGTTTG